TCTCACCATTGTTTTAATATAACTCATTTTTGCTCTCTTATGGAATTTCATCCTGTGGATGCGACATAATCAATTTTCACAAACCGATATTATTCAGAGTGGTCCAATATTCCCTATTATCTACATGATGTGGATGGTATCTTTTCAAAGTCTTTGCACTGGTAGTGGGTGTAGTCCAGGGCAGAGTTCCCATGGCTATTTGTTCTGGTGAGCTGAATGGGCCCCCTTGGAGTCCAACAACCATGTTGAGAGAATTGTAGTATTGTGATAACAGAACCTGGTTTATGTTGAGGGGGGGGAGAGAGGGAGGGGGGAGAGGGGGGGGAGAGAGAGAGAGAGAGAGAGAGAGAGAGAGAGAGACAGTGTGTGTGTGTGTGTGTATGTGTGAGTGTATGTGTGTGCTGACAACCACATTTCCCTTTACTTCCTTCTGGCTCCTTTGTGTCACTGCATCTCATTTGGTCTGCTTTTTAAATTCAAGCCCAAAAGTGAAAAAAGGGAAGTAACAGGATGGCAGCCCTTGTAACCAGATCTTTATCAACATTCTTCATTAAGTTCTTAAGATAAATACATAAAAGGAAATGCTAGCACAAAGGGTGTCCGCCTATGTAGGCATTTATAAGTATTGCTCTACAGACACTCATAATATAGTGTCATTTATGCTCCCCAAGTAGAGGCAGGTGAGAAAGGCTACAGAGGAATGAAGAAAGTACTGATGTTGACAAGGTATTGCAGAGGGAAGGCTCTAGACTCTGTGGCGGATACACATACTGGTCATTTGTCTATTTTTGGCTTTGTTGCCTGTGCTTTTAAGGTCTTAGCCATAAAATCTTTGCCTAGACCAATGTACTAAAGTGTTTCCCCCAGGTTTTTTTCTAGTAGTTTTAAAATTTCGGATCTTACCTAGACCAATGTACTAAAGTGTTTTCCCCAGGTTTTTATCTAGTACTTTTATAGTTTCAGATCTTACATTTAAGTCTTTAATTGATCTTGAGTTGATTTCTGTATATAATGAGAGATAGAGGTGCAGTTTCATTCTTCTGAATATGCACCTCCAATTTTCCCAATACCATTTATTGTGGAAGATGTCCTTTCCCCAATGTATGTTCTTGTTGCCTTTGTTGAAAATCAGTTTTGCCTGTAAACATGTGGATTTATTTCTGGATTCTCTATTCTATTTCATTGGTCTTTGTGTCTGTTTTTATACCAAACCCATGTTGTTTTGATTACTGTAGCTTTGTAATATATTTTGAAGTCAAGTAGTGTGATGCCTCTGGCTTTGTTCTTTTTGGTCTGGATTGGTTTGGTTATTTGGTTCCTTTGTGGTTGCATATCAATTTTGGGATTTTTTTCCTATTTTTGTGAAAAATGTCATTGGTACTTTGATAAGGATTGCATTGAATCTGCAAATTCCTTTTGGCAGTATGATCATTTAAATTATATTAATTCTTCCAACCCATGAGTATAGGATATCTTTCCATTTGCTTGTGTCCTCTTCAATTTCTTTCATCACTGTTTTGTAGTTTTCCTTGTAGAGGTCTTTCACCTACTTGGTTACATTTATTCCTAGGTGGGTTTTTTTGTAGCTATTTCAAGAATGCATGCCTTTTTAATTTCTTTCTCAGCTATTTTATCATTGGTGTATATAAGCACTACTGATTTTTGTATATTGATGTTGTATCCTACAACTTTATTGAATTTATTTATCAAATGTGAGAGGGTTTTGATGGAGTAATTAGGTTTTTCTAGATATAAGATTATATCATTTGCAAAGAGGAATATATGTAAAGACTCATTCCTCTTTTTCATCCAAGTCGGATGACTTGGATAACTGTTATTTCTTTTGCCTGATTGCTCTGACTAGGTCTTCCAGTACTGTTTTGAATAGTATTGGAGAAGGTGAAAAAACAAGACCCTTGTCTTGTTCCAATTCTTAGATGAAATGGTTTCAGCTTTTCCCCATTCAGTATGATGTTAACTGTGAGTTTATCATATATGGCTTTTAATATTTTGAGGTATGTTCTTTTGATGCCTAATTTCTTGAGAGCTTTTATCATGAAGGGATGATGAATTTTATCAAATGCTTTTTATGGACTGGTTGAGATTATCATATGGTTTTTGTCCTTCATTTTGTTGATATAACATATTATGTTTGTTTATTTGCATATGTTGAACCATCTTTGCCTCCCTGGTATAAATCCCACTTGATCATGGCGTATTATCTTTTTGATGTGCTATTGGATTCAGGTTGCTAGTATTTTGTTGAGAATTTTTGCATCTATTTTCATCAGGGTTATTGGCCTGTAGTTTTCTTTTTTGTTGAGTCCTTGTCTGGTTTTTGGTATCATGATAATGCTGCCCTCAAAAAATGAATTAGGGAGAATTCCCTTTGCTTCCATTTTTTTTCAATAGTTTGGATATAACTTGTGATAGTTCTTCTTTGAAGGTTTGTTAGAATTCATCAGGGAAACCATCCAGGCCTGGGCTTTTCTCTGTTGGAAGATTTTTATTACTGATTCAAGCTCATTACTTATTATTGGTCTGTTCAGGTATTCTATTTCTTCCTGATTCAATCTAGATAGGTTGTATATGTCCAGGAATCGATCTGTTTCCTTTAGGCTTTCCAATTTGGTAGTATACAATTGTTTATAATAGTCTCTGATGATTTCCATGGTATCAGTTATAGTGTCTCCTTTTTCATTTCTGATGTTTATTTGTACCTTCTCTCTTATTTTCTTCATTATTCTAGCTGGTGGTTTATGAATTTGTTATATTTTCAAAAATCCAAATTTTCATTTCATTAAAACACTGTTGTTTTAGTTTCCATTTTGTTTAGTTTGGCTCCAACCTTTACTGTTTCCTTTCTTCTACTACCAATTTTGGATTTGGTTTGTTTTTGCTTTTTTAGTTCCTTGAGGTACACAGTTAGATTGAATTTGGAATCTTTCTACATTTTTGATGTAGGCATCTATCGATATAGATTTTTCTCTTTGCACTGCTTTTGGTGTATCCCATAGGTTTTGTTATGTTGTGTTTCCATTTTCATTTGTTTCAAATAACTTTCTGATTTCTTCAATTTTTTTTCCTGACTCAGTGGTCATTCTGGAGCATGCTGTTTGTTTAATTTCTACATATTTGCACAGTTGCCCAGGTTTCTAGTTTTATTCCATTTTTGCCTGAGAACATATTTGATATAATTTTAATTTTTAAAATTTATTGAGACTTGTTTTGTGTCCTTCTACTTAATGCTTTCACCATTAAATAGAAAACAGCTATTTCAAATTAATGAACACATATTACTTCTGTTCAAAAGTATGTCCTGTGTCTAAATATTCATCAAAATACTTTTATTCCTGAATACTAAATTTCAAACAATATACAAAAGTACACTTATGAATTGTAATTAACCTTCAACTCTCACTAGCTCAACTCCTACCTCCTGACCCAAACTGTCTGTTGTCCACAAAATAGTGTACTTTTGCATAAAATCTTTTTACCAAAAAGTGCAATCACATTAATCATCTCCTTTTGCAATTTGTCTTTTCCACTTAATTTTTCTGAGGATTTGTATTAGCATCTTATTAGTTCTTATAGCTTTAGCATAATCAACAAGTTCATTGTTCATGTCTATATTTATTGGAATTCTATGTCAAAACTAGTTGTCAATTATTTTGTTACTGAGTTTGCCCTATACATTATGGTTACTAATCCAATATCTCAGATGTAGTTTGAAAATGTTTTCCCCATTGTTTTATATGAATTCTTAGTCTTATTTTCATTTAGAATTTGTTTTCTACTTCAATAATATGAATAAAATGTAAACAGATTGTAATTTAAAAAGAAATACTGGTGAAGAACACTTTAGGGGGTGTGTACTGTCAGCCTTGGGAAAAATTAGAGCATTGAGAGTCCTGGAGATATCAAGATAAAATGGAAAAATACTTTAAGCAATTCTAGCGTTAGCTGCTGATCTGGAGAGAAAAAAGTTTTCTCCCCGATTTACATAAACTTTACTAAATTACCCTGATCCGAATAATGGTCAAAGTGATAGGTACCTTGAATAGCAGTTAAGATTAAAGGAGATAAAATATAACGCGCATTTGCTTACAGTAGTTTAGTGTATGTCACTTTCCTTCTCTCAAGCTCACCTGTCCCAAGACCAATGCTTGAGCTTCTGCCTGAGCCTACTCACCTCTCTGAGGATCAGCCAACTAACTCATGTGGCCCTACAACCAGGTCTCTTGGCACAAATGGTGGGATTTCATCTCCTTTATCTTCCTCATCACCCAGAGGAGTTGTGGAGTGAGGACACATTGGTCCACAATAGCAGGGGAGTAGAATCTGATTATTTCTCAAGCCCTGGAAGCCCATTTTCTAAAAGGGAGGCTACTCAGGGCTGTCTATGGAGGATGAGGGACAAAACCTCATTCCAATTCTATCATCTATTTGGAGAAGTGACTCAGGCCCAGAAAGCCTGAGTTTGGTCATCTATGACATGGGACTGACCATACCATCCTTACAGTGCTGTCCTGAGGTGTAAATGAGAAAACTTGTATAGAGTATATGGCATAGGGTGAGACTTCAATGGCCTTTAAATGTTGGGACACAGCACTAGGGGATGGCTGAGCCTTAGCAAAGGAGGCATTATGAAAAATAATTTCTCATTGTTTCTCGTATGAGAAAACAGATACCTACTTGAAGAAAGCAAATGACCCTGTGATATGAATTGAGTTCAAAGATTTGTAGACAGTTGTTTCTGTACTTCCTGGGTATTATCAAAAACTCATAGGAGCTTTTCAACATCATGCCCCTGAGGTGACCCAAATCCAGTTCCCCATGCTGGAAAGACAGGCATGTCTTTGAACTCAGATGTTGAACTCAGAAATAGCTAACATCAGGGGAGCAGAAAGTTGTGTTTGCCTAATGGCTGTTCCTGGACTAGTCAGTATGGTTTTGGGCTCTTTTTAAAAATTTTTTTAAGGAAAAATTTTGACCCATACCGCAGTCCTCAGTGAAGAGTCTTCAGATCATGCAGTATTCAGCCACATCACTTGAGGTTTTTTTTCCGTCAGCTGCTGCCTCCCTTAGAGACAAAAATCCAATAGTTACTAGCAAGTCTTTGACACATTATATAGTTTGGCTGTTTCCCCACCCAAATCTCACCTTGAATTGTAATAATCCCCACATGTCAAATGTGGGGCCAGGTGGAGATAACTAAATCATGAGGGCAGTTTCCCCCATACTGTCCTCATAGTAGTGAATAAGTCTAACAAGATCTGATGGTTTTATAAATGGGAGTTCCCCTGCATAAGCTCTCTTGTCTGCCACCATGTAAGATGTGTTTTGCCTTCTGCCATGATAGTGAGGCCTCCCCAGCCATATAGAACTGTGAGTAAATTAAACCTCTTTCCTTTATAAATTATCTAGTCTCAGTTATGTCTTTATTAGCAGCATGAGAGTAGACTAATACAACACACAATTGTCCAGTTTTAATTAGCTAACAACTAAATATTTATTGAGCCCAGAATTCATGCTATTCCATTGGAAGTACTTCATGAATTCTAAAGTCAAATTAACTGGATAAGAAAGGAAATTAATACATAGGTGACTTCATTGCTTAAATCTCAGATGAGATGGCTCTTATTAATTTTTAAACTTGATCAAGTTAAAAAACTTGATGATTTTCAAAAATTCCTCCTTGGACCTCTCATCACCTATTCAACCACATGATAGAAATACCACTCCTCTCCCTCTCCTGCTTTCTCTCTTTCTCTCTCTCTCTATGAGTGTGTGTGCGTGTGTATGTCCTCCCCCATTGTATGCTCTCTTCTCCTTCAAATTCAAAGTTCCACAAAGATTTGTATATATTCCTTGTTAACACTCTCCACTTTTCGCTGATTCTTTATACCATTACACTATGGTGTCTGTTCCCAAGATAATCAATTAATGCATATGAATTAAAACTCTTTTGGGTTTGACCCAAGATGGCAGAATAGGAACAGCTCCGGAGTGCAGGTCCCAGCAATAACAAAGCAGAGAGTAAGTGTTCACCACATTTCCAAACAAGTTTTCACTGCCCACAACCAGGAGATTCCCAGGCCAAAAAGTGCCACAAGTTTTCAGCAGAGCTGGTGCCACAGGTTGGCACATGGAAACTCACACAAATCGGGGCAGCTGTTTCAACTGGTGCCTGGAGCGCCTGGGAGACAGAGCTGCCCATTCAACTGAAAGGGAGGGGGTGAGACAGGGAGCCAGGCGATCTGGCTTGGTGGATACCACCCCCAGAAAACAAGCAATCTGAAATGCTCTGGATTGAGAGTTTTGCAGCAAGCACACCTGGATGCAGGATGGTCCAGCTCAGTGGGAGGAAGGGCATCCATCACTACAGAGGCAGTCTGCCACTACCAAGGCAGTTCACATAGCAGCTGGGCAGAGCCTGCGGCAGCTCAGCAACACCTCTGCCAGCAGACTGTGACTAGACTACTCTGTACGGGGCAGGGCATCTCTGAAAAAAGGCAGCAGCATGTCAGGAACTTATAAATAAAGCTGACCTTCCTAGGTCAGAGCACCTGGCAAAAGCAGTATGAGTTCCACTGCAGCAGACTTAAAGGTACCTGCCCAGCAGCTCTGCACAGAACAATGGAGCTTCCAGCACTGCACTTGAGCTCCTATAAGGGACAGACTGTCTCCTCAAGCAGCTTCCCAACCCCCATATACCCAAAGAGACACCTTATAAAGGAGAGCTCAGGCCGACATCTGGCAGGTACCCTTCTGGGATGAAGATAACAGAAGAAGAAACCAGCAGCAACCCTTACTATTCTGCAGCCCCTGTGGGTGATTCCTATGCAAGCAGGGTCTGGACTGGACCTCCAGCAGTCCTGCAGCAGAGGGGCCTGACTATTTGAAGGAAAACTAAGAAACAGGAAGAAATAGATTCAACATCAACAAAAATGACGTCCACTCAGAGAACCCACCTGAAAGTCACCAACTACAGAGACCACTGGTAGATAAAGCCACTAAGATGGGAAGAAACCAGTGCAAAAAGGATGAAAACACCAAAACCCAGAATGTTTCTGCTCCTCCAAGGGATCACAACTCCTCACCAGCTAGGGATCAAAGATGGATGGAGAATGAATCTGATGAATTGACAGAAACAGGCTTCAGAAGGTGGGTAATAACAAACTTCTCAGAGCTAAAAGAACATGTGCTAACCCAATGCAAAGAAACTAAGAATCTAGAAAAAGGTTAAATGAGATGCTAACTAGAATAAACAGCTTAGAGAAGAATATAAACAACTTGATGGAGCTGAAAAACACAGCACAATAACGTGGCAAAGCATACACAAGTTTCAATAACCAAATTGACCAAGCAGAAGAAAGGATATCAGAGATTGAAGATCAACTCAATGAAATAAAACGAGAAGGCACAAATAGAGAAAAAAGAGTGAAAAGAAATGAACAGAGCCTCCAAGAAATATGGGATTATGTGAAAAGACCTAATCTATGTTTGATAGGTTTACCTGAATGTGACAGAAAGAATGAATCCAAGCTGGAAAATACTCTTCAGGATACCATCCAGGAGAACTGCACCAACCTAGCAAGGCAGGCCACCATTCAATTCCAGGAAATACAGAGAACACCATAAAGATATTCCTCAAGAAGAGCAACCTGAAGGCACATAATCATCAGATTCACCAAGGTTGAAATGAAGGAAAAAATGCTAAGAGCAGCCAGAAAGGTCTGATTACCCACAAAGGGAAGCCCATCAGACTCACAGTGGATCTCTCTGCAGAAACCCTACAAGCCAGAAGAGAGAAGGGGCCAATATTCAACATCCTTAAAGAAAAGAACTTTCAACCTAGAATGTCATATCCAGCCAAACTAAGCTTCATAAGTGAAGGAGAAAGAAAATCCTTTATAGACAAGCAATTGCTGAGAGGTTTCATCACCACCAGGCCTGCCTTACAAGAGCTCCTGAAAGAAACACAAACAAGAAAAGGAACAACCAGTACCAGCCACTCCAAAAATGTACCAAATGGTAAAGACCATCGACGCAGTAAAACAATATGTCAACTAATGGGCAAAACATCCAGCTAGCATCAAAATGGCAGGATCAAATTCACATATAACAATATTAACCTTCAATATAAATGGACTAAATGCCCCAATCAGAAGACACAGACTGGCAAATTGGATAAAAAGTCAAGACCCATAGGTGTGCTATATTCAGGAAACCCATCTCATGTACAAGGACACACACAGGCTCAAAATAAAGGGCTGGAGGAAGATTGATCAAGCAAATGGGGAGCAAAAAAAAGCAGGAGTTGCAATCCTAGTCTCCGATAAAATGGACTTTAAACTAACAAAGATCAAAAGAGACAAAGAAGGGCATTACATAATGGTAAAAGGATCAATGCATCAAGAAGAGCTAACAATTCTAAAGATACATGTACCCAGTACAAGAGCACCCAGGTACATAAAGCAAGTTCTTAATGACCTATAATGACTTAGAACACTCCACTGTCAATATTACACAGATCAACAAGACAGAAAATTAACAAGGATATCAGATCTGGACCAAGATCTTGAATCAGATCTGAACCAAGCAGACCTAACAGACATCTACAGAAAGCTCCACGCCAAATCCACCAAACATACATTCTTCTCAGCACCACGTTGCACCCACTCTAAAATTGACCACATAATCAGAAGTAAATCACTTCTCAGCAAATGCAAAAGAACGGAAATCATAACAAACAGTCTCTTAGACTACAGGGCAATCAAATTAGAAATCAGAATTAAGAAACTATCTCAGAACCACACAACTTCATGGAAACTGAACAACCTGCTCCTGAGTGTCAACTGGATAAACAATGAAATGAAGACAGAAATAAAGATGTTCTTTGAAACCGATGAGAACAAAGACACAACATACCAGAATCTCTAGGACACATTTAAAGCAGTACCTGGAGGGAAATTTATAGCAATAAATGCCCACCAGAGAAGCAAGGAAAGATCTGAAATCAAAACCCTATCATAAAAATTTAAAGAGCTAGAGGAGCAAGATAATAAAAACTCAAAAGCTAGCAGAAGACAAGAAATAACTAAAATCAGAGCAAAACTGAAGGATACAGAGATCATTCAAACCCATTCAAAAAATCAATAAATCTAGGAGCTGGTTTTTTGAAAAGATCAACAAAATAGACAGACCGCTAGCCAGATTAATAAAAAAGAAAAGGGAGGAAAATCAAATAGACGAAATAAAAAATGTAAAAGGGGATATCACCACCAATTCCACAGAAATACAAACTACCATCAGAGATTACTACAAACAACTCTATGCACATAAACCAGTAAACCTGGAAGAAATGGATAAATTCCTGGACACTTGCGCCCTCCCAAGCCTAAACCAGGAAGAAGTTGAAACCTTGAGGCAGCAATTAATAGCCTACCAACCAAAAAAAGTCCAGGTCCAGAGGGGTTCACAGCTGAATTCTACCAGATGTACAAGGAGGAGGTGTTATCATTCCTTCTGAAACTATTCCAAACAATACAAAAAGAGGGAATCCTTCCCAAATCATTTTATGAGACCAACATCATCCTGATACTAAAACCCGGCAGAGACACAACAAAAAAAGAAAACTTCAGGCCATTATCTATGATGAACATCGATGCAAAAATCTTCAATAAAATACTGGCAAACCAATTGCAACAGCACACCAGAAAGCTTATCCATGATGATCAAGTAGACTTCATCCCGGGGATGCAAGGCTGTTTCAACATAAGCAAGTCTATAAATGTAATCCACCACATAAACAGAACCAAAAACAAAAACAACATTATTATCTCAATAGATGCAGAGAAGGCCTTTGACAAAATTCAGCAGCCCTTTATGCTAAAAACTCTCAATAAAATAGGTATTGAAGGAACATATCTCAAAATAATAAAAGCTATTTACAACAAACCTACAGCCAATATCATACTGAGTGGAAAAAAACTGGAAGCATTCCCTTTGAAATCCAGCACTAGACAAAGATGTCCTCTCTCACCACTACTATTCAATATAGTATTGGAAGTTCTAGCCAGAGCAATTAGGCAAGAAATAAAAATAAAGTGTATTCAATTAGGAAAGGAGGAAGTCAAATTGTCTCTATTTGCAGACAACATGATTGTATATTTAGAAGACCCTAACATCTCAGTCCAAAATCTCCTTAAACTGAGAAGCAATTTCAGCAAAGTCTCAGGATACAAAATCAATGTGCAGAAATCACAAGCACACCAATAACAGACTAACAGAGAGCCAAATCATGAGTGAACTCCCATTCACAATTGCTACAAAGAGAATAAAATACCTAGGAATACAACTAACAAAGGATGTAAAGGACCTCTTCAAGGAGAACTACAAACCACTGCTCAAGGAACTAAGAGAGGATACAAACAGATGGAGAAACATTCTATGCTCATGGTTAGGAAGAATCAATATTGTGAAAATGGCCATACTGCCCAAAGTAATGTACAGATTCAATGCTATTCCCATCAAGCTACCAATGACCTTCTTCACAGAACTGGAAAAAACCACCTTAGACTTCATATGGAACGAAAAGACAGCCCACAAAGCCAGGCGAACCCTAAGGAAAAAAAACAAAGCCAGAGGCATCATGCTACCTGATTTCAAACTATACTACAAGGCTACAGTAATCAAAACAGCATGGTACTGGTACCAAAACAGAGACATAGACCAATGGAACAGAACAGAGGCCTTGGAGGCAATGCCACACATCTACAACCATGTAATCTTTGACGAACCTGACAAAAACAGACAACGGGGAAAGGCCTCCATGTTTAATAAATTGTGTTGGGAAAACTGGTTAGCAATGTACAGAAAGCAGAAACTGGACCCCTTCCTGTCACTTTACACTAAAATTAACTCCAGATGGATTAAAAATTTAAACACAAAACCTAACACCATAAAAACCCTAGAAGAAAACCTAGGCAAAACCATCCAGGACACAGGGATAGGCAAGGACTTCATGATTAAAACACCAAAAGCAATGAAAACAAAAGCCAAGGTAGACAAATGGGACCTAATTAAACTCCAGAGCTTCTGTATAGCAAAAGAAACAATCAGAGTGAACCGGCAACCAACAGAATGGGAAAAAATTTTTGCGATCTACCCATCTGAAAAGGGCTAATATCTAGAATCTACAAATAACTAAAACAGGTATACAAGAATAAAACAAACCCATTCAAAAGTGGGTGAAGGATATGCACAGATACTTCTCAAAAGAAGACATATATAAGGCCAACAAACATATACAAAAATGCTCATCATCACTGGTCATTAGAGAAATGCAAATCAAAACCACATTGAGGTATCATCTCACGCCAGTTAGAATGGCGATCATTAAAAAATCTGGAGACAACAGATGCTGGAGAAGATGTGGAGAAATAGGAACACTTTTACACTGTTGGTGCAAATGTAAATCAGTTCAACCATTGTGGAAGACAGTGTGGCGATTCCTCAAGGACCTAGAAATAGAAATTCCATTTGACCCAGCAATACCATTACTGGGTATATACCCAAAGGACTATAAGTCGTTCTATTATAAAGACACATGCACACATATGTTCACTGTGTACAATAGCAAAGACCTGGAACCAACCCAAATTCCCATGGATGATAGACTGAAGAAGAAAAATGTGGCACATATACACCATGGAATACTATGCAGCCATAAAAAACGATGAGTTCATGTCCTTTGTAGTGACTTGGATGAATCTGGAGAACATCATTCTCAGCAAACTGACACAAGAACAGAAAACCAAACTCCACGTGTTCTCACTCATAGGTGGGTGTTGAACAATGAGAATATGTGGACTCAGGGAGCGGAGCATCACACACTGGGGTCAGTTGGGAGGGGCTAGGGGAGGAACAATTGGGGGTGGGGAGAGATAACCTGGGGAGAAATGCCAGATATAGATGAAGGGGGAATGGAGCCAGCAAATCACCTGGTTATGTATGCACCTATGCAACAACACTGCATGATCTGCACATGTACCCCAGAACCTAAAGTACAATAAAAAAAAAAAAGAATGCGACTTCAGGAGGAAGGCATAAATCTACTGCCAGATGGGAGCCTGTGGGACCTGGGGTTAAAGAAAAACTAAAGTAGGTGTAAGATTAACCTGGATTAATTTTATGGCTATGTTTTTCTTGGAAATATTTCTTAAGTAACATATTTTAGGAGCTACACTTTTATCATAAATGCATTCCATGCTTGTCCTTGAAAATATTTAATACTGAGTCAAGTGTAAAAATTAAAAAATATTAATACCCAGTGTTAAAGCAAACTAAATATGACCTGAGAAGGACTACTTCTATATTTGAGTCCTTGTGGATCAACTGTAGCCTAGCTTAATAGTCAGACAAAATTGAAAACATAACTTAGGAGTATGTGCCTGTTAACAATAGCTAAGACTTAGCCAATCCCAGAGGCCATACTTTAGCCATTCGTATACCGCTGAGTGTTCAAACTGTTTTCAAATAAGGCAAATGCCAAGCTGTAATCAATCCAGCCATTCTGTACCTCACTTCCAATTTCTGTACATAATTTCCCTTTTTTTGTCTATAAATCTTTTCCCACCATGTGGCTATGCTGGAGTCTCCATGAATCTGCTGTGATTCTGGGTGTTGCTTGATTCATCAATTGCTCATTGTTCAAACTCCTTTAAATTTAATCTGGCTGAAGTTTTTCTTTTATTGTCAGTATTCCTATCCTTATTGAAATTTACATCATGCTATTTAACTGTTGCTTTTTGTACATGTATATAAGCAAACGTAATGGATAAACATACTGTCATCACACTATATATGGAATTTGGTATTCTAGGTTTCTATTTTCATTTCTACTTTTATCCGAACTTTTATATAAAGTACTAATATGTGGATGAATCATTCTGATTAAATGACAAGATATTAATCTAACTTTGCCTTTTAATGAACTTTACCAGCTAACTCAACCCCAATTTTTGAACAATGCATCTGATTGGAAATACCATATCTATACCGCATATTACATGTTATATATATATGGGTCTGTTCATGAGCTTTCTACATTCTTTAATCTGTACGTCAAAGACTCCATCAGCTATAAAAACAATGTTTCATGGAACACTGCAATACTTGACAGTGTAATCCTAACTCCTATCATTCACCCTTTGGATGAATGGTACAATAATAATATTAAAATAAACAATAATAAAAATGCCAACGATTATAGGATACATGGTAGATATACTATTTACTCTAGATTATGCAACCAGCAAGTAGTAGTTCCCAGATTCAAATACAAGCCCTTCTCACGCCAAAGCCCACACAGCTAACCACTGTTCCTACATTGAATATCCTTCTGTGTTAGACTAGAAGCCAACAAAAGAACAGGACTCACCCCAGGTCCTGTGGGGTGAGTTTACTGGTCTGTCAACTGGGATTCAGGTTCAGTGACCCCCATCTTCTGTCCAGCTACTATTCTTTGCTCTTCTTTAATATTCCTTCTTGCTGGGGCTCAATGAATTCATTCACCATGTCACACTAGAATGAAAATAGGAGACCAGAAAGTACACGGAATCAAAAGAATAATGAGAAAGAACAACATTCACTGCTTGTTGCTATGCTTCCAGATCATCTCTGTTTCAAATCTTTTATTTTATACAGCACAGATAATATTTTCTTCTGGGGCCAGTAATCTCTATGAATGTATCCCCAAAGATACAATTAAAAAAGACAAAAGGCGTAAACACAAGGCCATTCATGGTAGAACAATTCATAACAGGACGAGACTAGAAATGAGACAGATGTCCACCACAAGGAATTGATTAAATAATCTAAGGTACATCTACATCCCAGAGTTCTATGTAGGTAAAACAAGCAATGAGAACTCCCCCTTCTACTCCTTCATAATGATTTCCAGCATATATTGTTAAGTGAAGAAAGCAAGGTTCAGAAAAATGTGTTGAGCCACTGCTGTCCAATATAGTAGGTATTGTCCACATATGGCAATTTAAATTTAAGTTGATTAAACTTGCATGAAACTAAAAGTTCAGTTCCTCAGTCACATTCATCACGTTTCAGGTATTCAACTGCCACAGTTGCCAGTAGCTACTGTGTTGAACAATGTAGACAGTATATTTTCATCTCTGCAGAAATTAAAATGATTTTTCTGTTATTCGCACATACAGCTTTCTATTCAGCATAGAAAGAGGCTGAACTATCTAGTGGCCTTCTGTACCCCTTTAAACTGGAATGCCTCCTTTTTCAATCCAGAGTTCCAGAAAGCTCTGTAGGGCGTACATGGGCCACAGCCCCTCCCTCCCACCTTCCTGCTCACCGATGTTCAAGCTGTAGTTAAAGCTTCTGTCACGAGGGGGCACCATCGTACCACCATTATCAAACTCTTCTGCAAGGACGTGTCTACAAGGAGCAAAAAACACAATACTTCCCTTAAATCACAGCTTACAGAATGATTCATTCTGTCAAAAAAATGTAAGTGTAAAAGAAGACTGTAAATACATATACTGGGGGCATCTACAGGATGAAACACCAGATAGGTCTAACACTCCTTGGCTGTTGCTGGAAGACAGAACCTTAGGGGAGCATCAGGGTAGGTGAGAGGTGACTGAGAGAGGATGAGGGCACAAGGGGCAGGTATGGATGGCTGTGCCTATAGTGTCCTGGAGAGGGGATGAGTAGGAGACGGTGGCAGAAGGTCCAGGAAGCCTGTACAGGGGTGGGATAATGGAGAGTGAACGCCCTGCTCTCCGGAAGGGACCCTCCTATAGTGTGGAAACCTCAACCTACACTGAGAAGGGAAGAAATGAATCAACGAATGCAATGGTAGATTTGGGTTTGACAGCAAATGGAACCACTTTAATATATACAGAATACTCCAAATAGAACTGGTATCTCCATGAACAAAGCATGTTATAACATCTGTTACTCTTTGTAAAATGTACTGTTTTCATTAAAAAAAAATGTGAAGATGGCTGTGATGTTTCCTAGTGGCCAGAGCCAGGATTGCAACTCTGAGAGCTGACTGGTGAGCTCAGCAGGGGAAAGGGAGGGATTGGGGTTGGGAGGTTGATTAATGGGATTGGCCAGTTTTCCGGAATTTTTGACGTGCCTACAGGAATCCCTTTGTGTTCATCATTTTTCTGGGTTATAAAAAAAGGACATTTTTGGGGATATCTAAATCTGAGATTGGAAGTACAGTGTCAGTCTGAGCTGAGGATAATGCTGCAATCATGAACTGTATTTGAGGTGGTAGAGGTAGAGGAGCTAGAACACACACACACACACGTGTGTGAGTCAGTTTGTTTTTTAAAAATCTACTTTATTTCCCCAGGAAATTAAATAAATGAATGCTTAAAGGAATGTATGTACACCATACTCTTGTTAGTATGTTCACAGCACATTGTTTTTAATATTTCATAAAAATACTTTTTCCTGAATATAAAATGTAAAACAATATACAAAACACATTTATGAATTGAAATTAACCTGTATCTCTCACTGGACCAGCTCACAACCCCTGACTCCCAGGTGTCTGCTGTGCATAGAATGGTGTATACTGTGAAATGTGACTCCAAAGGTGAGATGCACACAAATATGTTCACCTACACACGCACGTAAGTCTGTTCCAAAGGTCAAATCACATCCTCATCTTTTGCAACCTATCTTTTCCACTTAATATTCTTCTCAGGATTTATATTTGCATCTTACTAGCTTTTGTGGTTTTGGCATAGTTCGTGTGTTTATTGTTCACGCATCTAATTGACATTGGTTGAAATTATTTGCAAAACTCTTTGTTAGTGTGCTTTACAAAGCATGAATTCCAACCCAATATCTCAGCTCTAGTTTGCAAGAATTTTTCCAGAGTTTTTACACAATTCTTCCTTCTTTTTTTATTTAGAATTTTTCAGTTTAAATAATCTTCTGACTTAAAACCAGATGGATCATAATTCTTTTTTTAAAAAATGTTTTAACTGCCTTGGAACATGTAATGGCAGTGCCCAGGGAGATTAGATCATTCCGAGCCCAGGATGCACACAGACAAACAGGGGAAAACTTCAGAATAATTCAGAATTACCTGCTAATCAAGACACAACAAAGGTATTTCCCTGATCTACAGAAACTCCCATAAAGTACCCTGATCTGAATAACAATCATAATTCAGTGGTTATTCTTGTGGGTAACTTGAATAGCTGTTGAGATTAAAGGAGATAAAATATAGAGTGCATTTGCCTAAAGTAGTTGTGATGGTTAACACTGTCAACCTGATTGGACTGAAGGATACAAAATATGCATCCTGGGTGTGTCTGTATGGGTGCTGCCAAAAGAGATTAACATCTGAGTCAGTGGGCTGGGGAAGGCAGATCCACCCTTTATCTGGTGGGCACAATCTAATCTGCTTCCAGCGAATATAAAGCAGGCAGAAAAATGTGAAAAAGAGACAGGCCTACCCTTTTAGCATACATCTTTCTTCCATGCTGGATGCTTCCTGCCCTTGAACACTGGACTCCAAGTTCTTCAGTTTTGGGACTCAGACTGGCTCTCCTTGCTCCTCAGTTTGCAGACAGCCTATTGTGGGACCTTGTAACTGTGTAAATTAATACTTAATAAACTCCCAGCCGGGTGCAGTGGCTCACGCCTGTAATCCCAGCACTTTGGGAGGCCAAGGTGGGTGGATCATGAGGTCAGGAGATTGAGACCATCCTGGCCAACATGGTGAAACACCATCTCTACTAAAAATACAAAAATGAGATGGGCATGGTGGCATGTGCCTGTAGTCCCAGCTACTCAGGAGGCTGAGGCAGGAGAATCGCTTGAACCCAGGAGGCGGAGGCTGCAGTGAGCCAAGATTGCACCACTGCACTCCAGCCTGGGTGACAGAGCAAGACTCTGTTGAAAAAATAAACTCCCATATATATATACAGATGGAAAGATATAAATATAGATAGATATAGATAGATACATATATACACTCACCTGTCTCAAGGCCAACACTTGAGCTTCTGCCTGAGCCCGCTCACCACTTTAGGCATCAGCCAATTCATGTGTCCCTACACACAGGTCTCTTGACAGAAAGGATGGGATCTCACCTCTGTCATTTTCACCCAGAAAAGTTGTTGAGTAAAGACTCATGGGGTCACAATAGCAGGAGGGTGGAATCTCACCATTTCTCAAGCCCAGAAGCCCATATTCTAAAAGGGAGGCTACTCTGGGTCCTCTAGGGAGGGTGAGGGATGGAATTTCATTCAAATCCTGCCACTTATCTGGAGAGGTGTCTTAGGCTCTGTGAGCCTGAGCTTAGTCATCTGTGAAATGGGACTGATACCATCCTTACAGAGTTGTCTGATGGGTAAATGAGGAAATCTCTTGAGAGAACATGGCATTGAGTGGGACTTCAATGGCCTTTAAATGGGACACAGCACTAGGCAACGGCTGTGCCTCAGTGCTAAGGCAGGCATTATGAAAAATCATTTCTCATTGCTCCCCCTTTATGAGAACACAGACATCTAGTTGAAGAAAGCAGATGTCCCTGTGATATGCCTTGAGTTCAAAGTTTTGTAGACAGCAGTCTCTCTACTTCATGGGTGTTATCAGAGCCTCATAAGAGCTGTTCAACGTCATGCTTCTCAGCCAATCCAAATTTAGTTTCCTAAACTGGGAAGACAGGCATGTCTTTGAACTTACCTGTTCAGCTCAGAGATATCACCAGGGATGTAAGGTTTCGTGTTTGCCCAGTGGTTGCTCCTGGACTTCTTGGTATGTTAATATATTTATTGGAATATTCTAGACCTGTCCCAAAATCACCAGTGCAGGGGTTTTCAGACCGTGCATTAAGCAGCTACATCACATCAGAATTTCAGCCATCTGCTGCCTCCCTGAGAGATAAAAATACAAGAGTTACTAGCATTTCTTCACACAAAATGTCTATTCTTTCATTAGGTAATAATTACATATGTATTGAACTCAAAACCCATTCTATTCCTTTGAAGGTGACTTATGAGCTCTAATATGATATAAAAGCATAAGGGAAATAAATATGTGGGCAATTTCAAGGGTTAATTCTGAAATAACTTTTTTCACATGAACTTTTAACTTGGTCAAGTTCAAGAAGTTGAAGATTTAAAAAAAAATTCCTCTTTGGACCCCCTCATCACCCATTCAGCTACAGGCTACAGATCTCCCTGTCTCTGTCTGTCCCTCCCTTTTCCTTCTTCTCCTCATATTTGAAGTACCAAAAAGAGTTTTCCACATCCTCTGTTAATATTTTTCACTTCCCACTCATCATCCCATTGCCCTATGTCTTCTGTTTCTGGATTGCAATGAATGTTTTTTCAAAGTCACAATCCACCCATTTCTTACTAGTTCCAGGTTTCATATAAATATATTAACATAGTGAATATTACTTTTAATGAGCTCCTAAAGTATGCATGCCTGCAGATTGCTTCTTTCACCTACCAACAGAGCTTTCACATTTTCCCAGGCTCTAGAGCATGGTGCACTGGACATAAGTCCAACTTGTTCCACTCCCTAAATGTTCAGTCTTAAGTCCTTATTCTCTCTATCCCTCAGTTTCCATCTGTAAAATGGAATTTTGCATGAGTATTTAACTCATAAGTGTGTTCTGGGCACTGAATTATCCAATACATTAAAAGCATATAGTCATGAAAAGTATTAGGATATTGGCCAGTGTTTATTCATAATCAATGATTATGAATAATCAGAGAGAGAAAGAACATGCAGGTGCTTAGTAATAATTCTAGAAGGAATAACAGAATTAGAAAAGCAACATTTGATAACTCTCATAGTTGTAAGTGATTCGGGTAAAAACAATAAATAAATGCTCAGTTTGTACCAGCAAATCTCACAGAGGTCACTGAGTCATCATGGTAACCATGCTTGCCCAGAAAAGCTGTGAAAAAACTGAATAAGCACCTGATTGTATTCCTAATATACACTTATAACTAAATAGGACTCATATGATGCATGGTAATTTACCTCAACTATCCCTTACAATAAACATTGCTGGCAGCTTCAGTGATATATACATTCATAATACATACATACCCACATACATACATGCTTGATCTCTCTCACCATTCCAGATCCCAGGAATTCATTGATGTAGATTTACTGAGTGGGTGGGTGGACAGGTAAAAAATTAGAACCTGGCCAGGCGTGGTGACTTATGCCTGTAATCTCAACATTTTGGGAGGCTGAGGTGGGAGGGTCACTTGAGTCCAGGAGTTTGACATCAGCCTGGGAAACATGAGACTCTGTCTCTACAAAAAATAAATAAATAAATAAATAAAGAATAAGTTAGTCAGGTGTGGTGGTATGCACCTGGAGTTCCAGCTTCTTAGGAGTATTGCCTGAACTTGGGAGGCCAAGGCTGCCATGACCACACCACTTTATTTAAGCCTGGGCAAGATGCTGTCAAAAAAACCAAAAACCAAAAAGCAAGAAAACAAAAAAATCCCTGCAAACCTTGCATTTCAACAGATTTATTTTTAGCACACATATAAAGTTGAAAGCTACTAAACTATGCTCTTTTAATGATTAATTTTTCTGGAGATGACCCCTGTAGAGTATCTCTGAGACATCTTTCAAATACTTTTTCCATAAGAAAATAACCTGTGCTTTCAACCAAAAAAAATTCTGCTATTATTAATTATTTGGCTGCTGAGAAAATATAATAGTTCAGAGAAAATATAATAATTAGGCATTGTATTTAAAAATAATGCCATTTACAGTAGCTTCAAAAAGTATGAAATATTTATAGATCATCTATCCACAATCGTACAACACCTGTACACTGAACATTACAAAACACTGCTGAGAAAATTAAAGGAGACTTAAATAAATGGAAGAAATTCTGTGTTTATGGATCAGAAGACTTAGTATTGTTAAGATATCAATTCTCCCGGATCTGATCTATAAATTTAATATAAATTCAATAAAACTTTTACCAAACTTTTAAAAAGGAAACCGACAGGTTGATTCTAACATTCATGTGAAAGTTTAATAGATCTAGCTGATACAAACAACTTTGAAAAAAAGGTCAAAGTTAGAGAACAAACACTACCTGACTTCAAGACTCTTTACAAATCTACAGTAATCAAGACAGTGCGCTGTCGGCATCAAGGTAGAAAAACAAATCAAAGAGACAGAATAAGGAATCCAAGACAGACCAAATCTACACGGATAATTGTTTTCGACAAAGATGCAAAGGCAATTCAGTGGAGAAAGATAGTATTTTTCAACAAATTGTGCTGGGAGAAGTGGTTAGCCATATTCACAAATACAAACAGTGATCCAAATATCACACTATATGCAAAAGTCAACTCAAAGTGGATCATATATATGCTTATATACACACATATATACATGTATACATATGTGTACGTATATGCATACATATGCATATATACACACATATACTCATACATGTATATAAGTATACATATATACATATGTATATGTGTTTATATATGTATATGTAAGTGTGTACATATATATATACACACACATCTATATTTGTGTATATATATACATGTATATATGTGTGTATATATACATATATGTGTGTGTGTGTATATATGTTTATATAACCTAAAACTGTAAGACTTCTACCAGAAACACAGGAGAAAATCCTTGTGACTTTGGGCTAGGTAAAGACTTCATTAGTGAGACAAAACTACAATCTGTAGGTGAAGAAATCAATAAATTAGACTTCCTGAAAGTTAAAAACTTTGCTCTTCCAAAGACACTGTTGACAAGCTCTTGGCTGGGAGAAAATAGAAACTATATATCTGGCAAAGGACTTATATCCAGAATACAGAAAATCTCACAAAACTTCTTAAGAAGAAAACAGACACTCCAATAAATAAATGGACAGAAGAATTGAAAAGACACTCCACTACAGAAAATATACAGATGCCAAATAAGCACATGGAAAGATATTCAACATCATTAATAATTAGGGAAAGCAAATGAAAAGTATAGTGAGACACTATTACATTCCAGAAGAATGATCAAAATTTAAAAGACTGACCATACCAATCACTGGTAACTTTCTGGAAGCTAAAACCCTCATACACTGCTGGTTGGAATGAAAAATGGTACAACCACTTTGAAAACAGTTTGGCTGTTTGGAGATTCCTTACAATGTTAATCTTACCTCTACCACATGATCCAGGCACTGAGCTCCTAAGTATTGACCCTTGAAAGATAACACATATTTTCCCAAAAAGACTTCTTCACAAATGTTCATAGCAGCTTTATATACAAGAGCCTCAAATTAAAAACCAAAATGTCCATAGACAAATGGATGGATAATGAAATGTTTGCTGTAGTTGTATACTGGAATAGTATTTAGCAATCAAAAAGAATGAACTATATCAATAGATAAATGCAATAAAGTAGATAAATATAAAAATAAGTAGAGTGAATGAAAAAAGCCGGGTGTTGATTTAAAAAAAAGAAACCACTTCTATATTCCATTTAAATATATTTCTGTACATGTAAAGTAATATATTGTGACAGACATGCTGTGTTTACCTGGGAGCAAGGCAGTGGGAAAGACAGGTAGGCCAGGTACTACAGAACTGAAATTGTGATGCCCTGGGAAATAATAATGGTATTTAGAAAAATCTAGTTATCTTAGAGGACATAGCTGGATATCATTATAGTAGGGCAAACTACATTGCAAGTGTTAATTTGGAAAATGCCAAATTCTTGTACCTCTCATTTTAATATTTTTAGGTAGCACTTAATTAATTTTTGGCTTCTTAGAAAATTTAATTACAGAATAGACAAAAAATATGGAAACCATGGAAGAATGCATACTATGATCACAAATTGCTAGGAAGATCTTCTAACCTTCTAACTGTATAGTTCAGCACCCATCTGAGAAATACACGGGCATCACTGATAAGTATTTGTAAAGGCAGAAAACATATGTAAATTTGTTGCAAATACATGTTAAACATCAAGTTCCTTCCTCGAGTGAACAATTCATTGCTTTATGATAAAGTAAGGCATCTCTTAGATGGGAATCAAGGTTACTACAAAGAGTAGTTTCTCATCTTCTGGACTATATTGTGAACCTCACAATATAGTGGACTATATTCCACAACGTGCTTTTGTTCAGATCTGTGAACTCATTAGAATCAGGCATCATATCTCACCAGTGAGGAAGTGCCAAGGGTCTCTTGAGGACTTCTCCCCTTCAAATCTGGAGTAGAAGCTTCAGCACCCATCATGTCCCAGATCCTCACAACTAACCTCCTTCAGACACTTAATATAAGTTTAGTCACATGCATAAAGAGTTACACAGGGAGAAAGAGAATCCAGCCATTATTGTACATTCTTGGAGTAACTCTGTGCCTGGTACCATACTAGGCACTGGGTTAGTGACCAATGACACTGATAAAATTGGGTAGTGATCATATCCAGAAGGTACAATGGGTTTCTCACCAGGGCCTTTTTCTTCCTTCCTTATCTCCCCCCTAAAAACAAATCTGAAAAGGAAGAAAAACAGGCCTGAATTTACATACACATTCCTGATTCCACAATGACTACAGGGCTATGGTCTTGTACCTTTTTTATCACCGTAAGTTCCAGGAATTCTATGTGTGAGCATAATTATCCCCATTATACAGAATGGGATGCTAAGCTCAGTCTTTGCCTGTATCATCCTCCCACAACCCTCCCTTACATGGGAAGTAGCCCTGAGATACCTTGGAGCAGGATACCACACTCCCTGAGACCAGGAGGGACCCACCTCTTTTTCTCACCAGACAGCCAGGGCACCGAGTCCCAAAGCAAGAACAAGGAGGCTTGGTTGGGATCCCTTGTCTTCCCACACTCCAGGGCAGTTCAGTCCTACATCTTCAGCTGAGTCTCAAACACCTGAAGGCAATCCTGTTTTTTTCACCAGGCCATGTAGGTCTCTATTGAAAAGTCGTCACAGTCACCCTTATGACGTCTGGTTTTTATGGCAACTGAGATGTACAGGCTTGTCCTCAACACTGGAAATGCCTCCTACCCACCGGAAATGCCTCCTACACACCGCCCTCTGTCCTCTTGCCTTTCTTGGAAAGCAAAAACCCTTCACTCTTCAGACCACCACCTGAGAAAGCTTACTAATAAAAGGAACTAGACTGGGACCCAGGTAACTGGTGGAACTCTGCCCTCTTTTGATAATAGGACAAAAGTCTGTGTTGTCAGGAATTTTGTTTGCTTTAAAAGTAACCTTGAGGGAGTATCTTCACGACATAGAGACCCAGGGAAGTATCCTAAGGCTCTTGACAAGGAGCTAGCCCTGAGGGGGAGAACATGTACAACTCACATACCATGCTAGGCAGTTAGGCATCTGTGGCAGAAAACTGAGAGACCGTTTATAATCATATGACTAAACAACCTAGGAACACCAAAATATGCCATTTAAGATATCTCTAAGTTATTTCAGGGAAGCAGGCTTGGAATAATATAGTCATTTAGTAGGCAAAAACCTAATCAATTGAATCATACAATGGTTTGTCTTGACAAAATCCTTATCCCCCATCCCAATATTTTATTCCATGTGAATGGGCATTCACAACCAAAACATTTCTAGCCTCTGTGCACACTCCTTTAGCAGGAAAAACATGCTGCTCAGCTGGAGTCCTTCCTTCAAATCTCTTGGTAGTAAGCTACCTTTCAGAGGTACTCACTCTGCTCTGCCAACAGGAGGGGATCTTACAATAGGCCCACAGATCTAGTCTTCTTTCTGTGCCTTGCTGGCTACTCAACTATTCCTATGGTCTTGCTTTACAATGCTTGAATATTTAAGGCCTCCTGCCCCAAGAAATCCACTGCTCCAAGTCTTAGCACTAAACCAACTAAGATATATAATTTTTAAAACTACAAGGGCTTTATTTCTTATAAAAGTCATATTAGAGAATGTGACTTAGATTTGCTGTCACATGGGCTACAAATGAGCCCCAGAATCGACAGTATCCACCCAGCAGTGCTGCATTTGTGGGACAGTTACAAACGCCAAGAATTGCAATGCATAGCAGCCTGATGTCTCCTAAAGGAGTCCTGTTTATGTGTGTTCAAGAAAACTGACTTCCTCGCCAAGGGCTATCCCTGTAGCAGAAGAAAGTATTTCAGGACACTTTGCTGAAACACTAGTGAATATGAAGAAATACCCTTTGTTTGGAATGATTACTCATTAAGCCAACCTCTGAGGTTTTTCTTATGAAGTGGTTTATAGCAACACACTCTCAGTACTTTAATTTATGTGACTGTAGTAGAGGCTCATCTTATGGTATTATGTTTCAATTCAAATAGCAGTGGAAAAATTACACATTATAAAAATTTCCATTGGAAATCTCTTCAAGTAGGAATCAATGACATGTCCACAAATCTCTATCCACATATAAACTAATACTCACATTACAATCAAAATTATAACTAAGTTCCACCAAGCCTTCAAGAATAACAGAATCCCTTTCTTATTGAATAACAGATCATAGAAAAAGTGAGAGAGCTCACTAAAACCCTAATGTTTTGGATATCTATTTCTCCTTAAGCAATATCCCCAAAAATAGCCATTTATTATCGCTCAGGATTCTTTGTATTGACTGGGCTGAGCTAGGTGTTTTCTGCTTCATGGGGTATCTGTCATCTGGGGCTGTGTGGTCCACACATCTGAGACATCCAAGAGGCTCACTCACATGGATGATGACTGATGCTGGTATCTCCTGGGAGCTCAGCTAGGGTTTTTGCCTGTGACACCTTAGTTGGACAGTCCTCCATAGGTAGGGTAGCCAGATAAAACAGAAGATACTCACTTATATTTTATTCCAGATAAATAATGAATAATATTTTAGTGTGTGACGCTTATATTTATGTGTCAGGTTGGCTGGGCTAAAGTGAGGTTTGATGAGCTAAAGTACACAGATAGCTCATCAAACATTATTCTGGATGTTTCTTTGAGGATGTTTTTGAATGAAATTAAAATTTAAATTTCTGGACATTGTGTAAAGCAGATTATCATCTATACTGTGGATAGGCTTCATCTAATCAACTGGAAGTCTGCATAGAAAAAAACTGACCTCTCCTGAAGGGAGAGTTGCTGGTAGATGGTAGAAGGGAAGTTTGCTGGTAGATGGCTTTTGGAATTAAACTGCAACATTGGTTCTTCCTTGGTCTGCATTCTGCAAACAAACCCTGCAAATTTGGGCCTTCCAGCTATTGTGATCATGCTAGCCAATTCCTGAAAACAAATTATTCTCTTCCCAACCCCTCTATTTAGATAGATAGGTAAGATAAGGAGATACACACACACACACACACACACACACACACACACACACACACACACACCGTATTGGATATGTGACTCTGGATGTGGCATGCAATATTATTTTATTTTAATTCAACTGGGCATCTCGTATTTTTATTTACCTTCTGACATGACATTTCCAATGAGGTAAGTCTAAGGAAAATAAGCAGGTAAGACAAAAAAAGGACAAAAGCTGGTAATACCTACTGTTGGTGAAATAAAGGGGAAACAGACTTTCAAATACACTGTTGGCACCACATTGATGTATCCATTTTCTGAGGCCCATATTATTACAGCTTAATGACTTGAATGTCATTTGTGCAGAAGTCCTGTTTCTACCAACCAGGGAGCTTCAGCTGAGGGTTTAGAAAAGGCACATCAAGGTGACTCTTATGTGCATCCTGGTTAAGAAGCCCTGGCTGTGGGGGCAGGTCAAATTAATAGATGAGTTTTCTGCTTCAGGGAGAAACGATAGCTCCTACTTACGGAGCAAAGCGTTTAGAGGGGCCCAGCTCTAGTTTCTTTATGTTAGCATCTGGATTTGATCTCATGACAGCCCTGCCAGTGAGGTTCCAGTATCCTCTCTTCTTCATGGATGTCTGTGACTAACGAAGCATGTGCTCCTAACCACAGAGCTGGATGGCAAAAAACTTGCTCAGCAAGCCCACTGCCAGAACCAGGCCTACTGCCAGAACCTCACAGCCTGGGCACCTTTAATTGCTGGTGGCAGATCTTTAGTATGAGGACACATACTGTCAAGGACTTTAATCTCTGTCCTCCTTGTGTTTACCCTTCCTGCATTTCCAGCAGAAAACCAGGCTTGGGCCTCTTGCCCCATGTCTCAGGGAAGGTTTATAGCAAGGCTGGAAGCAGAGGCAGTGTTCGCTTCATCCTGTGTGGAAACTTAAACTTAAGGAAAGGATTGGACTACTTGTACCTGGCAGGAAGGGGAAGGGTTCTAAGGACACAGAGAAAAGAGGAGAGAGATTTCTCTTGGATGGTGATGAGGTCAGAGTTCTACAGGTGCCTCTGGGAGTAGGAACCTGAGCATTGCTCTATATCAATGTTTGGAGAAGCTCTGTATATGGTTCATCAAGGCTCGGCATCCAGCCATGAGACAGATTCTCATGTTTGGTTGGAAGGATGGATAAGTCTGGGTCGGGAAGTGCGGTGGGGCTGAAGGTAGCAAACCAGCTAGGGAAATGGTCAGCTCAGCTCTCAGCGGTGGGGACACATGCGTGATAATGACTTGCCAGGCTGTATCGGGAAGATACATTTCCACAAATGGTTATTCTTTGTCAAAGAATAAAAAAAAAGTGAGTATTTTTAATATATACTGTCTAGTTGAAAGTTAAAATCTCTTAATATCCCAACCAACTATAAGATGAGAGCACTTGTTTCTCTAGATTTGTGCAATAATGGGCTTCCCAATGTTAATATTTGTGGATGTAATATCCTCTCATTGTAACGTTAGAATACTTTTCATTTTTCTCCATCTATTTCCACATAAATGGCATATTTCACATGTACATTTCTAAACACAAACTTAACAGTCCCACTTTATGCCTCAGAATCTGTCCTTGAATAGTCCTAGAGTTTGATGAGAAAATCTGATGAGTAAGTTTGTGTTTATGCTGTGTCCTGTTTAAATTGAAATTGTGGAGTCATAAGAATGACATGTTGCTTCAGGAGAACAAAATGGTAGACTGTCTTTGCAGAGACACTGGAGAACATATATGAGAGAAGCAAGCATGGCCCCATCAACTGCTGCTCTCTCAAATCTGCACTGCAGAGAGTCCCTGGCATGCGTGCAAGAATGGTCATGGCAGTGTGGCCAAAATATCAAAATAGCCCCAAAGTTACCTTATTAGAGACATCTCAGAAACATTTTCAGAAGAAATAAATTCAGTAAATGTTTGCTACAATTTGAATGTTTGACTCCTCCAAACTTCATGCTGAAATCTGATCCCTAATGTTGGAGGTGGGACTTAACAGGAGGTGTGTGGGTCATGGGAGTGGATCCTTCATGAACGTCTTGGTACCATCCTTGCTGTGATGAGTAAGTCCTTGCTCTATTAGTTCCCACAACAGCTTGTTGTTGAAGAGAGCCTAGTACCTCTCATCTCTCTTTCCCATCTTTTGCTATGTGGTCTCTGCACAAGCCAGCTCCCCTTGGCCTTCATCATGAGTGGAAGCTTCCTGAGGCCCTCATCAGAAGCAGATGCCCAATCTTGAACTTTCCAACCACCAGAATTTTAGCCACATAAAGTTTTTCTCTTTATAAGTTGTGAAGCCTCAGATATTCTGTTATAGCAATACTAAATGGACTAAGATAGTGGTACAAAAATATGCAGTTTATTCCATTTACCTATCAGGACAGCAGTGTGAAGGAAGTATGGTGAGTCCCATCTTGCAGACTCACCTCTGCAAGCTCTGGCTCACAGAGACTAAGACCCTCTCCAGATAAGTGGCAGAATGCCAATGGGATTCCATCTCTTACCCTTCCCCACAATGGAACCAGCAGCTTCCCATTTGGAAGATGACAATTTTATACTTCCCCAGTATTGTGCCCTAAGGGTACTCACTCAACAGCCCTTCACATTGAGGAAAAGGATGGTGGAAATGAAATCTTGACCTTTGGGCCATGAGGCATAGCTGCAGGGTCATATGGATTACCAGGTCTCTGAAGTTAACTGTAGGGTGAAATAAAGAAATGTAACCTCATGTGGAACAAGAAAGAACAGGGAAGAGAACAGAAAACAGCAGGTCCCTCAGGGATCACCTCTACCTTTCTCTGTCTTTGCTCCCTTCCCCACCTCATTTGTCCCCTGCTCTTTGTGACAGTATAGGATGTACACAGGTGTCCGAAGTACCCTGAGAAAGGATAGAAAGCTGGGAAGATCCAGATGATGAGACGGCTGGATCAGGCAACACAAGTCCTGGAGCCCATGCCCTGGGTGTTGGCTCACCCACCAGGTGCTCCACCTCTACCTGCTTCTGTGTGCCTCACCATCACTCTACCACACAGCAATGAAGCTCCCACATAACAGAAATATGCACTCTCCAAGGGAGGCTATCAGGGGAAGTGACTTACCCTGAGTCAAAAACGTTCCAGATTTATTGGTTTGGGTTTGGCACCAGGATGCAGAGAAATCTCTGGTCTCACTTGCTCCAGTGTCCTGAACAGCAGACAGTATGAGGTTTTCATCAAGCCCCTTGGGAGTGCAAAGGAAACATGCTTCTCTCAGGCAGACAAGGGGACAAGAAACATACAGGGACAGGAAAACCTGGGAAATGGGGTATATGGTGACTTCATTCCTTACCCCAAACTCCATTTATGGGGTCCGTGACTCAGTTGAACAGAAATGACGGACTCACCTTCTTCCCTTCCCCAGCACCATCAGGGCGCTCATTCCACCACACACAAATGACACTGAATCACCATAAAATTAGAAACATGGGAGTGTTTTCCTTCTCTCCACATACTCTCTAGTCACGTGGAAAATAGTTACTATACACTAGAGAAACTTGGCCAACCTCACCTTAGTTAAATGATGAAGTTCAACATCACCAGTGACATTAAGTAGTCATCCTAACTACCAGATATAATGTGACAGAAGGGCACTTCAGAAGGGTATTCTTTCTCAAAACACATAACCCTTGTCTAATCACAATAAGAACAACTGGCTAAGCCTATACTCCTCATAACTGTCAGGGTCATGAAAGTTACCTGGCAGTTCCTCAAGTGGATAAGCAGGGAGATACCAGCAATTTCACTCTTAGGTACATACTCAAGAGAAATGAAAACATAAGTCTACCTGAAAACTTAAACACAAATGTATGTTGAATCGCCATTCATATTAGCCAATAACTGGAAATAATCCAAATGGGGCCGGGCGCGGTGGCTCATGCCTGTAATCCCAGCACTTTGGGAGGCCGAGGCGGGTGGATCATGAGGTCAAGAGATCGAGACCATCCTGGTCAACGTGGTGAAACCCCGTCTCTATTAAAAATATAAAAAATTAGCTGGGCATGGTGGCGCGTGCCTGTAATCCCAGCTACTCAGGCGGCTGAGGCAGGAGAATTGCCTGAACCCAGGAGGTGGAGGTTGCAGTGAGCCAAGATCGTGCCACTGCACTCCAGCCTGGGTAACAAGAGTGAAACTCCGTCTCAAAAAACAAACAAACAAAAAAAAGAAATAATCCAAATGACCATCAACAGATAAATAAGTGAAAAATGTAGTCTATTCATACAAGATTTTTCAGTCATTAGAACGAATGACATTATGACACATGCTACACTATGGATGAACCTTGAGTATATATCGTAACAAGGTGAAGGAAGCCAAACAATAAAGCCCAAATATTGTATGATTCCATTTATATAAAGCATCTAAATAGGCAAATTCATAGACACAGAAAACATTTGTCATTGCCAAGGCTGAAGAAGGAATTAACTGTATTCAAACATGACAGGATTTTTGGAGGTAATGGAAATGTTTAAAGCTTGATTCTGGTGATGGTAGCACAACTTTACACATTTACTAAATTCATCAAATTTACCCTTAAAATGGGTAAATTTCATTATTTCTATGGCATATTGGAAGAAAGCTGTTTAAAAATGTGGTCTTCCGGTCTTCTGTTGTACCACAGTAATGACCAAACACTTTCATACAAAAGAATTGGCGCATGTTTTATATAAAAATGAATGCATATAAAAGAGTGTCTGTGTCCTAACCCTGCTGCCTCTGTCCTGTGTAACTCCAAGCAATGATCATTTGTCTTCCCCCTTCCCCTCATGCTACATAAGGTTGTGCTTGTGTGCAAAATTTGATGTCATCTAATCACTTGCACATCTTTCAAATATGACAATGACTTTAGATTGGATCCTGAACTCTGCCATCCTATGTGATAGGATGTCAGCATAACTAATTTCTTCACTCCTCTGTGGCTGTCCTCACATGCCTCCCTTGTGAGGACATCATCTAAATGGCACCAACTCTATGTGTGCCACTATGTCAATACATATCAAAGAGTGAACACCACTTACATCAACAATTTCCCTTGTAGAAATTCATCTTCAGAATGTAGTGAAGAATGTTGATAAGCATCTGGTTATAAGGACTGCCATCCTGATAATTATCTTTTGTCACTTCTGGGCCTGAATTTAGGAAGAGAGACCAAATGAGACACAAACCCATGAAGGGGCAGAGGGAAATGTAGTCAGCACGTGCGCGCATGCGCACGCACATTCACACTCACACAAACTGAGACATTTATCATGTTGTGTTATAATTCTCCTAAGACAGCTTGCTGGACTCAAGGAAGACACATTTAACTCACTGCTGCAAACAGCCCCAGGAACTGTGCCTGAAACTGTGCCCTTCAGCAGTGCACAGACTCTGAAAAGATGCCATCCATACAGTGTAAATAATAGAAAATATCAGAACAGTCTGAATAATATAGGGTTGTGAAAATTAATTATGTCACATCCATAGGATGGAATTCTAGAAGCAGCAAAAACGAGTTATAATGAAAGCAATGATGAGAGATGACTTTTTGCATACCAGATTAATGATTCACATTATTTTTAATGTGTGGAGAAACAGATATTTTTATACTGTATATAAATTAGTAATAGTATTTTAAAGTCATTATGAACATAAAATTTTATAGTTCAAAGGGTTTTAAAATGACACTTTCAGGAACTTAATAAATGCTTACAAAAATATTTGCATATACATAAGCATGGTGTTAAGTACACTATTTTTGGTCATAGAAATAATGGTAAGGAAACTAAATTTTCATTGCTAGGATACTAGTGAAGTAAATTTGAGGGCATCCACACAATGAAATACACAGTCCAAAAAAAAAAAGTGAGTTTTTTTGTGTTTTAGTATTTAAGATGTTATCATATATTTCCATGACAAGATAGTTATAGTAAGAGCAAACTTGGGTTACAAAGATGATAAAAGATTTGCATCCATTTTAGCTTACCCAGGTCTCCAGCTATTTATCCATTTGTCTCAAAGCCTTTAAAAAATATATTTATTCCTCTGACTCAGTTTTCTCTTCCACATAGTAAGAGGCTCCACTTTTTAAATGGAGGCTGACAGTATTCCTACATATTGGGAACGCCCAATTTTCACTCAGACTTCTAGAAAACTCTGTAGGGCGGCCTTGGGCTACAACCCTTCCCTCCCACTTTCCAGCTGTGATATTCAAGCTGCAGTTCAGGCTTCAGCCACGAGGGGGCACCACCATACCACCATTGTCAAATATTTCCACAGCAGTGTTTCCAAGGAGCAAAAAAAATTCCTCACTTAAAACCTACCATATGAATTTACATATAGAATAACTCTAATTCTGTCAGAATAAAATTAACAAGTGTAAAATAAGACAGTAAAATCCTCTACTCTCGGGGCATCCATAAGATGAAACATGAGATACCTCTAGCACACACTGGCAGCCCTTGGTAGGCAGAACTTTCTTACCTACAGACAGCCATCCTCCTGTATCCATCATTTTTATAAATTATAAAATAAGCATATTTAAGGAATATCTAAATCTGAGATTGGAAGTCCAGGCCTGGTCTGAACTGAAGATAAGCCTGAACCTGTGAGCTGTATTTGTGTGATGGAGCTAGACACACACACACACACACACACACACACACACACAGAGTCAATTTACTGTTTTAAATATACTTTGTTTTCCCAAGAAACTGAATACAATGAATCCTTTCCCAAATTACTGAATTCAGTTACACATTATTGTTGTCGATCTATTAACAAGTATTTTCTTTATCCAAATTTTTATCAATATACATTTTCCTGAAACCAACTTTCAAACAATATACAAAAGCATATTCATAAATTGGAATAAATCTTTATCACTCACTGGTCCAGCTTCTATGCTGTGACCCAAGAGCGTCTGTGGTCCCTGGTATGGTGCATACTCTTCAGACACATCCCTGTAGGTGAGGTGCACACAATCCCCTTCACCACCCCCCCCCACACACAGAGTCTTCTCCAAAATGCAATCACAGGCTGGGTGCAGTGGCTCACACCTGTAATCCCAGCACTTTGGAAGGCCGAGGCGGGTGGATCACGAGGTCAAGAGATCAAGACCATCCTGGTCAACATGATGAAACCCCGTCTCTACTAAAAATACAAAAAATTAGCTGGGCATGGTGGTGCGTGCCTGTAATCCCAGCTACTCAGGAGGCTGAGGCAGGAGAATTGCCTGAACCCAGGAGGCGGAGGTTGCAGTGAGCCGAGATTGCGCCATCGCACTCCAGCCTGGGTAACAAGAGCAAACCTCTGTCTCAAAAAAAAGAAAAATAAAATAAAATGAAGCTTGAATTTAGCTAGAGTAGCTTTCAAAGACTACTTAAAAACATTAAATACCTATATCAATAAAAATGAAAATAAATGAGTTAAACAATCAATTCAGAAAGCCTGATAAAGAACCACAATGTAAACTAAAAAAAAAAATGGAGACGAAAAGAATGCTTAATGGTAAAAATAGAAGTGTATGTGAAAATAAATAACATCCCAGTTAGCTGTGAATAATGTGTCAAAAACTGTGCTGGGATCTGGTGAGGGTTTCCCCTTAAACTCCTTACAACACTCTCTTAAGTATAAGAATCAAGCTTGTGTGTGTGTGTGTGTGTGTGTGTGTGTGTGTGTGTGTGTATACATATACATATAGACATTTAATGTTAAATTAGCTAGTTGGAAGACAAGAACACCTATAGTATTTACGTGTGTATGTGCTTGTATATAGACAAATATGCAAAAGAATACTATATTTTGTCTAGGGACACTCTCATATGTAGTAAAGGACTAAAAAACAATGTGGGATAGTAAGTACCCCATTCTGGATACTGATTATCTCCAGGAGGGAAGAAAGGATCAGGAAGGAGTAAAGTTTTTCTTAACCTGGATTAATTTTATAGTTCTCTACACTCTTTATAAGTAGCAGAGGTTTTAGGGGACATAGCGGGTTTTTTTTCATAAGTACAATCCATACTCCCCAAAGGCTTAATACTGAGCCAAGTGGAGAAGTTAAAAATATCAGTCCCATCATAGACTGGGTACAGTGGCTCAAACCTGTAATCCCAGCACTTAGGGAGGCCAAGGCAGGTGGATCACCTGAAGCCAGGAGTTCAAGACCGCCAGCCTGGGCAATATAGCAAAACCTGTCTGTACTAATACAAAAAAAAAATTAGCTAGGTATGGCATCTCACACCTGTAATCCCAGCTACTCAGGAGGCTGAGGCAGGAGAATCGACTGAACCTGGGAGGCAGAAGCTGCAGTGAGCTGAGATCATGCCACTGCACTCTAGCCTGAGTGACACAGCAAGATCCTGTGTCAAAAAAAATCAATCCCATCATGCTTGAAGTTAAGATTGGGCTATGTTCTTTGACTGGGATTTTTTAGTGTATACATGTATGCACATGTACTGTACATGCATTACATATGCAACCCATATAATAATTAATATACCATATGTATAGTTTAGTACCCTGTATTTTTTATTTTAGTTTTGCTTTTACCTTAAGTACTAATATGTAGATGAGGCATTCTGGTTAATTACAAGGTAAAATATATGATACAACTTTTTTTTTTTAAGGTTCTTGCTCTATCCCTCAGGCTGTCATACAGTGGTGTGATCACAGCTCACTGCAGACTTGACCTCCTGGGCCCAAGCAATCCTCCCACTTCAGCATCCTGAGTAGCTAGGACTACAGCCATGTGCTACCATCCATGCCTAATTTTTAAAATTTCTTTGTAGAGATGGGGTCTCACTATATTGTTCAGGCTTATCTTGAACTCCTGGGCCCAAGCTATCCTCCTGCCTCAGCTTCCCAAAGTTCTGTGATTACAGGCATGAGCCACTGTGCCTTGCCCCAACTTTGCTTTCCAATGAACACTTTTCCAGTTGATCCAGCCTTGGTTCTTAAATAATGCATCTGATTGGAAATGACATACATGTAGCATATTGAATAACATATATTTGGATCTGCTCATAAGATTTCTATAGACTTCCTTTAATCTGTATATCAAATACTCTGTCCAACAGTTATTTCATCATAGGTTCATGAAACATAATACCTGGCCATGTATTCCTGCTCCTATTATTTATCCTTTAGATAGGTGAAATGAATAATAATACAATATGCTAACAATTATAGGGTATATAGTATTAATAGATAAACTGCTTACTATAGATCATAAACCAAAAAGTGATGGTTCCTAGGGTCAAATTCAGAAACTTCTTACCCCAAAGCCCACATCTCTAATCACTGTTTCTATGCTGAGTGCTCCTCTGTGTTTTTGCTGAGGTCAACAAAGGGGAAGGAACTTACTCAAAGACCTGTGGTCAGTTGATGGGTTTTGCAGCTGGGTTACAAGGTTAATGATTCTCATCATCAGTCTAGCTGGCCCAATAATATTTCTGGATCTTCTGCACTATTTATTCTTGAGTCTCAATAAGAAATTCTAGAGGGATCATGGCAGATGGGAGGCAAGACTAGATTGTAGCTCCTAGGCGGACAGAGAAGTATGTGGAAACTCGCATCATGTACTTTTGCTCCAGAACTACTGCAGGAATAAACCAGGAAAGCTGAGAGAACCCACAGACCTTCTGAAGGAATCAGATTGCTCCTGCAGGACCTGGGAGACACCGCAAATACTGTGAGTGCCCAGGCTGTGGAACTGCAAAAGGGGGATCATCCATCCCCAAAAACACACCCTCACTGGGGAACCTGAAAGTCTAGATCATGGAAGAAGATTCTGACCTTACCTGGAGCTGAGTCAATTCAGGGAGCTAAGCGAAATACAGGGGTAGAGAAAGCAGGAGGACAAGCCTGTGAGCTCCTTGGGTCCCTTAGAAAGCCATTCTGCCTTATTTCACAGAAGTCCTTGAGGAAGGCTACCAGAGGTACTGGGAGAAGACCACAGGGAAAAGGAAACGTCCAGCTGAACTCTGTAACATTTCCAACTGAATAGGAAGTCTCCTGGCCAGAACTCAGGGGAGGGCGTGAATCTGGTGTGCAGATGCCACAGGCAGGGAGGCACGAAAGTCCAGCTTGCTTTTGCAGCTGGGAAGCTGGTAGCCTGGGGCAAATTCTCAGCCCAGCTCACCCATTTCCT